GTGGAAGAATCAATCCAGTCCTTCAAAGCTCTATGAGCGCTCTCGACTCTGCATGTCGTAGTGTTCCCAAAATGAAGAACTTGGTTCGTCCAATATTTGACAAACTTTTCCCTCTGAGGTACCCACTGATGCATCACATAGTCTACGATTGGCGGGCACCACTTGTACGCATCCTTGAAGTTTTCCAAGGCTCGATCGTACTCTGCCTCTGTGGTAGCTTGCATGATCTTCCGCCACTTACCATTTACCAATGTCTCTGCTGTTACTAAATTCTTGTTGAAAAGATTGTAGGCTTTGACTTTCACGCAGTTGTTGATGTGCCATGTGCACAGTAAATGGCTCGACTCCGGAAACAGCTCCGCTATAGGGGCAAAAAGACCTCCCTCACAATCACTTACGATGGCCGATGGCTGTACATTTGGGCCGATGTAGTTTCTCAACTTTTCCAACACCCAACGGTAACTCGCAGCCGTCTCATCCTTCATGACTGCATAACCAATCAGAAAGTTCTGGTTCGTTGGAGCCATCCCAACCATCTCAACCAGTGGGAACTTGTACTTGTTTGTCTTGTACGTTGAATCGATCAAAATCACAGATGGCCAAGACGAAATCATATCAGCACAATCAGGATGGACAAGGAACAAATGAGTTACCTCCGATGTGTCTTCGTCAGATTCAAACCAGTAAAGGTAACCACGTGCTTGTGCCTGGTGCAGAAGCTGCTGTATAGGGTTCCTTCCCTCTGACCGTTCAAACCTCAATTTCTGTCTGACGTTGTAGATGTGTCTTCGGTTTGGCTGGTCTTCGGGGAATTTCTCTAACACAGACGCTAATATTTTAGCGGGCTTCACTTGAGCATCACTCATTTCTTTTACAACTAGTTTCGCAGCTGGACTTAGGCCGCTTAACTGCCGATGCCCCACTTTGTATGCTATCAGCTCATGGTTGTGATATCCCCATTTGCCGTAACCCTTCACTTCCCAACCGTCACGCCTTTGATGTTGTCGAACCTTAACTCGGAACTGACACCCACAACCTTTCCGCTTTGAGTCAAACCGAATCGCTTTACTGAAATCTCGTTCTTCTCTTTTGCGATAACGGTCGCATCTCAAAATGCGATCCATTCTACCATCCCGTTGAGATTTATGAGTTGCTACTACTAAACAAAAGCCTGATCTAATTGCAACCTGTTTTGCCCAATCAATCGCTTGTTGAGCATCTTCGAACAGGCCATCATGTACAAAAATCCCACTGTAATCATTTCCGTCTCCACCATAATCCTGTAACAATAACATATAACGTATAAATATAATTACATTAAGATTAAATTAACAAAAACAAACAAAAAAAAAAAGGGGATTAAATTAAAAAATAAAAAAAAAAATAAAAAAAAAATATATTCCCCTAGTGGCGCCTGGCCAGGCGCCTTGGCCGTGGCTGCGGCGTCCTGGCCACGCGCCACTACTATGGTCGAGGCTTCTCCACCAGGCGCCGTTACCACGGTGGCGGCGTCCTGGCTAGGCGCCACAACCACGGCATGGCCTTTTGGCTAGGCGCCAGCCACCATTTCGTCCTTACGATGCGTTACGAACCTCGTTTTCCGATGACGACGGCGATTCTCCGGTGATCCTCGGCGATCCGGTGCTGCTCCACATTTTTTTAGTGCGAAAAATTTATCTTCGGTTAAAATTATAAAAAGGGCAAATTTGTCAAAAAATTATAAAATGTGGGCTTTATGTAGAGATTTGCGGGCGATGAATAACAAGTCCCTTTTCTTTTGTGTTCATCAAGCTTTTCACCATCTTTGATATCAGTACTTGTATAAAACTTTTAGGGGCCGTTTGGTTCACACGAGGTAAACGGAATGGAATGAACAAAGGGAATCAAAGAGAATGGAATGAAACCCTTTCTTTATACTATGTTGTTTGTTTTTAAAAATCAAAGGCATGGGAATGAGGGGTTGTGCATTGGTGGTAGTGACTTCTCCAACCACTCAACCGCCCAACCACCACCTCACCGCTCGTTGTCGTACCTCCTCCACCATTGTCGCCCGTCGCCACACCTTCTCCACCTCTCGCCGCCCGGAAAACCACTTTCCCCTGCCCACGAAAACCTTCCCCCTGCCCACGAAAAACCCTAGAAACCCATCCTCGCCCCCTTAAAACCGCCGGCCGTCACCTCCCTTACCCTCGAAACCCTAGCTGCTAGGGTTTCGAGGGTAAGGGAGGTGACGGCCGGCGGTTTTAAGTAGACGAGGATGGGTTTTCGTGGGTGAGTTAAGTTTTTCCAGGAAGGGAGAATTCTTTAGAGGGAGGTGCGGCGAGTTCTGATTTGGAGATAGGAAGGTGCGGCACCTGCCGGCGAGGATTGGGCGAGCTCCGGCGACACCCGACGAGGACTAGGCGAGCTCCGGCGAGGTGTTTGTGCGGTGGGGGTAAGTGGGTGAGGTAGTGACTGGTGTGTGTAGTGGTGGCTTAGGAAAGGGAATGGAAAAGGCTAGGGGGGGGTGGGGAATCAAGCTTGAAGGATTTTGGGTAAAGTCAAAAATAAAAATGGGTAAAGGGAATGAAAAAAATGACAAACAAACAGCAACAAAGGGAATGAGGCATATTCATTCCCTTTCCATTTGATTATTAACCCCAACCAAATGGCCCCTTAGTATTATTCATTGTTGGTGGATTATCGGGAATACACTGTTGCAGTAAATTTGTCAAGTCGTTGATCAGGCGTATTCTTAGCCACAAATTATCCTTTTCTTGCGTTGATTAGGCGTATTCTTAGCCACATATACACTGAGTGGTTGTTTTGGTGAAGGTTCCCTTTGGAGGGGGGAAATTCTTCTTTGATTCTACTTCATCATAGATAGAATGGACAAAGTCGCTTCAATAATTTGAGGTTAGAATATTGTTGTAGTGAACAAGATACTGCACTCAGGGCTACACCTTAAGGTCATGCCACTGTGATCAATTACTTCACAAAACACGTGAGAGATGGGGAAGATTGTCACTAGTCACTTGCAATCATTAGGCTGACGGTGGTGGATTAAAATAGAGCTGAAAAGGGGTGTAGATGAAGGTTGTCAAAGCCGAGAGAGAAAGAGAGCCTGGATCACAGTCGGAGAATGAGATTGCGTGTTGGAGTGGGGGGGGGGGGGTCTTTCGCAGCAAGCTTACTCCAAAGGTGGGGTGGGTAAGAGGGTTTTCTCGTTTCTGTCATGAAACTCAAGAAATAAACGTCTTTTTGCTTATGAAGCATATCCTATACAACTTCGTAAAGATCACCAGCATTTGTAGTGGGGTTATTCTACTTATAACGATGTACAAGAAACATCGGATAGTTTCTCATATAAACTCATGGTCATGCCCTGTGACTGATTAGCAGCTACCAGCGATGACATAATCGTCTAGGTTAACCTATTAGACATTACAGCCTTACAGGTTTACTGAAAACCTAATAATAGTCCATCGCTTCAACAAAGAACAAATCTTACACATTATTTAGTAAGCAATGCAGTACATTCAGTTACAAAGTGACATGTTACTGGTCAGGGAATCGGGGATAATACTCTATTTAAAGAGAATTAGAAAGAAAATGAGAGAGAATCTTCATTGACAGAGAAAGAATTACATAATCAAGGAAATGAACCTAATGCAGCTTTTATACATGTAATAACAAAACTAAAGGTAGGAAGTTTGTTAAGGAAACAAATGAGAAATAACGGAGTTAGTTATAGCTAAATGCTGAGTTGGCTGATGACTTATGAGCTGATTATGATCAATCAAGGTGGATCATATTGATCATGATCAGTAATATCAGTATCATGTCACTCTGTCAGCCATGGCTACATGGGTACGTCGTCCATGTAAGTGTCAAAATCGAGCACTTTATGAAAAAATCTGGTGCTTTTGGTCTGAAGTAAAGTGTAAAGTGTCCATACCTAAGTTAGAGTGTCAAGGGGAATTGCCAGAAGAACTTCAGGTGGAATGAAGTGTTCGAGTTACATAGTTCAAAACATCAGGAAGTTACCAGTTAATAGCTCTTGAGCAGGGAACTTGTTAAACGGGAATAAGATCAAACAAGAATAAGAATGTATATATGTTTGCTGACATATATTTGCAACCACAATAACATTAAAACTGTGAAACAGAAATCCCAAATCCAAGTTGATTATAGGAATAGAGCTGATGAAAAAGTTCATCATCAAACAAAATATTCATCCGTACTGCAATCAACTAATATTTGAGCATTTTCGATCTTACCAACAATAAACCTCGAATGTAGTTGAAATATGTTCAAAGCAATGAATCGTGTCATGCTGCATAATACTAAGTACTTGTTAACTAAAATGCTTCCCAAAGATGGGGGTAAGGAGGCTTTTATCACTTCATACACCCGAACTTCTAAGAAATCTCAATGCTCTTTCACCCAAATGAAATCGTAGTATACCATACCATACATTGCTAATAAGCACCTCTTACATAGCTCCTACTCATTTCGAAACACAAGGGGTTTAGATGTATGCAACCTTAACCTCATGTCAAAGAGAAGCTAATTCCTTCCCGTGATCATACATTGCTAATTAGCACCTCTTACATAGATCCTACTCATGTTGAAAAACAAGGGGTTCAGATGTATGCAACCTTAACCTCATGTCAAAGAGAAGCTAATTCCTTCCCGTGATCATACATTGCTAATAAGCACCTCTTACATGGATCCTACTCATGTCGAAACACAAGGGGTTCAGATGTATCCAACCTTAACCTCATGTCAAAGAAAAGCTAATTCCTTCCATTGATCACAGCTACAAAACTTACCTCTCTAACATTCTATACTTTACAACAAACAATGACAAACCCCACATTCGATTTCAATTCAATTCAATCCAATCCATACCATTAGCATGTCAACCTTGTTCAAAAACAATATCGAAAACACGAAAAAAGAAACACAATTCATCATCATGCACCCAAAAAATCCACTACCAAGTACCAAATCATCCATTCTTGAACCTTTTCCTTTTTACTCACATAATATAGTATAACAATTACATTACATCACATAACATTATATCTCCACCCCAAAAATTAATCTACATTACAAAATCATACTATTGCAAGAAATAACCTGATAAAAACAAACAAAAGAACAAAAACAAGCTACCATAAATAATCAAAGCCTTCTGACCAGAAGTAAGAGAATTACCCCCAAGTCCAAACTGTTGATTTTCAGCAAACCCAGCAATCTCAACACTCTTACTCTCAAAAAACCCTTTTGCTGCCCCACAAGTCGGGCACCTCCAATCTTCGGGCAGCTGCCCAAAGGGCAATCCAGGAGGAACAGGGTAACTAGGATCACCTGCAGATTCATCATATCTATAACCACATGATCTACACTCATAAATCCCAGTATTTAAAACTGCAAATTTCTCCTCCAATCTTCTTTTATCAAGATTTTCTGTATCTAATGAACTGGGTTCCTCTGAATTTGGTTGTTCTGAAATGGGTTTATCTTCCTTTGACACATCAATTGATTTCGAGGCGAAACCGGCTCGGTTCGAGTGGTTCGCCTCGAGTGTAAGTCCTTTGTAATTCATTGTGTATATGATAGATGAAATGAATTGGGTTTTGGGTTTTGGTGGTGAAGGTGAAGAATGGTGGAATGAGAAGGTTGTTGGTCTTGTAATGGAGGAGGCCATTGTTATTGATTTTAATGGTAGTTTTAGAGTTTAATGGCTCAAAAAATTGGGAATAATTTGAGAGTGTGGTGAGCTTAAGTATGTTGGTTTTGGTTCAAAGGTTGGAAGATTGTGGAGGGAAGAATGAGGATCCATGGAAAAGGCATATGCCAAATTTTAGACCTTTTGTTTTTGGGAGGGTGTTGGTTGGATAAGGTGTGGGGCTAAGAATTTTGCTTGTATCCTGTGGGTGAGCTCCACTTGTATGAGTTTCAACCAATTTTTGAATGGTTTGTGGGTGTTTAGACTTTAATCACATTAGAAATTTGAAGAGGTTATAGCTTAATATAGGTGATGAGGTCGGGTTTAGACTAGACTACTTCGGATCAGAAGTTGTTAAATTTAAATAAGAATTACTAAGTATTTAGTGAAGTGAAAAAATCTTAAGTTATAGTATAGTTAATCAACTTTGTTAAATAAGAACCAACTCTGGTTCTTTCTATCTAATTTTCATATTCAAATTAGAACACCTAATTTAGGAAAGAAAAATCCTCTAGTAACTTTTGTTTTAACTTTCTTTATTATAGATCTAAGAAGTGAACTTTAGAGGATTTTGCCTAGTACTTGTACATATCATGAGGGAAATGAAGATTATATATTTGTATATGAACTGTTTGCTTTAGGTCTAATGACCTAACCTCTTTCTAACTCACGAAGTTAGAATTAAGTGACCAATTGGATTGCTAAATACCGCAAAAAAAAAATGATCACCACCGCCAACATTTGGTGTGAATAGACAACCATGCTCTTACTACTTCACCACCCCTTATCCTCCCTGCCGACCCACCACCCCTTCCGACCGGTGACAACCACCACTATCCTGAACGACGACCCACCACACCCCCCTCAATGATGGCCCACCACCTTCTCTCGCCGCAGGAAGGTGGTGGTTTTTTTTCCAACAACCACGGTAACCGGAAAACCAGTTACCGGGCACGGTTCCCACCGGTAAGGGAAGGTGGTGGGTCGTCATTAAGGGGGATGTAATGGGTCACCAGTCAAGGTGGTGGTGGTGGTCGTCGCCGATCAGGGTGGTGGTGGTAGTACTCGCCGATCAAGTTGGTGGTGTCAAGGTGTTAGTGATTGGTGGCAAGAGGGAAGATAATGGTGAAATACTAAGAGCATGATTGTTCATTCATACAAAATGTTGGTGGTTATAAACATTTTTTATGGCGATATTTAACACCCCCCATATATATTTGATACATGTATGTAAATAATTAACTATATATGCTTGAGCACATGTGCGTGCATAAATCTGGGTATGGGTCAACCGCCAGTCTGTACATTCTTACGTGCCTCGTACTCAAGCAAGTTATGTCAAAATGGGTCAAGAAAGTGTCATGTACTCATGTTGTGTCAGGTTTGTATCGATCTTTCATCAATTTAGCACATACATTGTGTGATTTGTGTCCCATTCCAGTGACCCCTTTTAATAGTTTATATACGAAGTACATTTTTTCTTAGTAAAATTGATTAAATATAAGTAGGTAAAATGTGTTACATGTTGGGCTCATGCCCATGAAAATTATGTTCATGCGCAACCCATGCCCCATTAGTGTGCCTCCTCTTATGCAGTGTTGATGCGTAACGCTGCAACCCATAACTCATTAGTGTACCTCTCTTGAAAATGTGACAGACTTCTACTAGGTTAGGGTATTTACATGTCGTGCCTAACGGGCTCTTGGCCTCTTGCCAGTCTGACCTATGCTCATCTCTATGCGGAGAACCGGTGATGGCCGTTTACTTTTATATTTTTGTACTGAGTAACCTCTTATTAATCACCCTAATAACATTCTTGAGGCCAAATGATATCAGCTTATACTAGGAAATACGTCCATGAAGAGACATAATTAAAAAGTGTTGTCCATGTAGCGATCTTTTTATTGACAAACTTGAATGTCCAATCTACTTGATCCTTGGAAAGGATAGAGAAGTTGTATCAAATTAAGCTTTATTAAGATAACTAGGATTGGAATTAAGCTTATGTTGGATAATTATAGCGACTGTGAATATCACATCATGCTTAGAATTTAGATGTGAACAATACTTTGCAAAGTTGATTAGTTCGAGCATGAGCATATTGACCAAATTTCACTACATTATTAGGAATACTAGAATTTAAATTTTACCCAAAATTGATGTCTTTAAGGTTGAGATAATTGAGTAAATGAAATTTGAGACGACATTTTTAAGGATGGAGGGAAACTTTAAATTACTTTACCGTTATAATGTTGCATGATAGAGACTACCACGTAATGTTCAAATCATATGAGAAAACGATGAATAAAAATAAAGGTTGCATGTTTAAATCTTGTATACACAATATTTCTCGTACAATTTTAGTGAGAAAATAGTAAATGATTGAGACTACCCCGTAACACCTAGTTCTTCTAGGATACTTTTAAATATTTAAACATGTGGATTTAGATAATATCCATGGCATTATAGAGCAACAATTCATGTCGTTCTACTTTCTTGGCATAGCAACAAATCATGTTATACAAATTGAGGTTTGTTCTTTACATCCTTTTGGACAAGTTCCTTTGCATTTCTTTCTACTTCTTCAATATTAGTCGTTATTCATAAAATTATGTCAAATTCTCACAGTAAATATTAATGTTTAAATAAGAGTTGTTGCATATTTTAAGCAATAGATCTTTGGAATTAAAATTATAAACTATGATTAAAATTATAAACTAGGATTAAAATTATAAACTAGGAAGTACTTAAAGGAAAGATATACGGTAACTTAGCTCCTTCTAGTTAGTGATCATAATTGCTTCCTCGTTAAAATGCTAGTACCAATTGGTTGTTGGTGTAATGATAATTGAGACTATACTTGGTAGGAAAGACCTGTGTTCGATCCCCCGTAATAACAATTGATAGGGGACTGAAACCTAACCACCGAGAAGCCCAAAGAGTGAAGCGGATGGAACACCAAAAAATTAAATGCTAGTCGAAAAAACACGTGGAAAGTTTTATATCTTAATAAATGGATTCTTAATTTTCAACTTAGAAGTAACTTTTCCATTCTCTTAACATAAATCAAGTGATGCAAACAATAATATGAAACAAGTAATAACGAGAAACAATTCCTATTTTCGTTCTTTCTTTCTTAGGGATAGAACACAAAATGGTTTCCTTTTGAATTTTGCGCAAGTATTTAATACCTAATGTATTCTATGACATTTCAAAATCAAAATAACATGCTAATGTCTTTATTACTTAGATGCAAATTCATGAAGACCGTAATATACTTGATTAAGTAAATAACTCAACAAAAATCCACAATTTCATCCGCAATTGCTTAAGTAATGTTTTCATTTTTAAAAGCCATAAATCTTTGATTACAGTAACTTGCTATTTTAATTTAGGGATCAAAACTTTTTCCCCATTTAAACATTATGTGCAAAGTTTTATTGTTTAATAAAGAAAATATGTATTTTATTAAAATACCACCCAAAAAAGACAAAAATAAATAAATAAAAATTCACCACCATTTAACATTTTCCATTAAAAAAAGGAAATTTTGACAATTACCATGTCCATTTTAGCAATTACCACATTCTTGCCCTCAAGACGTCATTTTGGGCCCATTCTTTCCCTTCCCTCCCTATTTCCCTCACATTTCTCATTCCTATGTGGATTCTCATCTCCCCTTTTACTTTTTCCCCCAAACCACCAATAATTATTCCTATGTGGATTCTCATCTCCCCTTTTACTTTTTTCCCCCAAACCACCAATAATTATTCGTCAATTTTGATTTGGAGGAGTGTATTGAAGTGTTTTTGATTGTTTGGGGGAATTAAAGTGAAAGGGGGTGTAACACCCCAATAATTCTTCCATTTTCAAACCACTTACTTTAAATAAAAATAGAGGAGATCCATTGGCATGTTACCGTCACGTGTTAAAACGTTAAAGGCTTTATCAAAGTATTGCAGCGGAAATCCAACTTAAATCTTAAAATAATATAATTTAAAAATCCAATAAGTCAAAGCTTACAAATTGGAACCATAAAGGCCCTTATTAAAACCAAACCAATCTTCCAAAATCCCAAAACATAATTAAAATAGTAAAACATAAATAAAATCAACACAAAGAACGAATACTCTTAATCACACCAATCCCTTGACAATGCGTATGTCAAATCCCCGAACTTCACATCATCAAGCTAACCTGTGCAATACTGCTCCCCAATAATACAAGTGTAATAATTGGATAATCACAGGGTCATTGAAAGGCGAAGGTCATGACCAAAAGAAAACACACAAAAGCACGCAATCAGCAAAGCTGAGTACATACAAGCTACAACGCACAAAACCTAGCATGCTCAACTAATTAAAGTAAATAAACATACAACACGAATTCATTAATCAAGACTCCACACTTAAACAATTCAATCGACTCAACATACTTGCTAATCAATTCCAAACACTTGACTCTTTATATTTAATTTAATTAATTTAGTTTGGAGTAAGCAATAGACGAGGTTGTCCAATCCACCAAATCATTTTGGTCCCAAATGACCATTTAAAATAAAAGTTTAGCGCGATGCAAGAATGGGCGCGACTCCATTCTCACAAAGTTAGTCTAGGATCCCATCTAACTTTCATTATAAAATAAAATGTAAATACCAAAAGAAAAGAGGACATGTTGATCAAATAAGCCTCGGAAAAGCCACGGGCTACCACCGTGTACCCCAACCTATAATTGTCAATACTCTAGAAGTGCACGCTTTCCAGAGTTTTATTGCTCATCCATGTTTCACTTTACGTGATTACAATTTTAATTAATAGCCGACTCATTCAAGAAGACCATACATAACAATCATACATCAATTCACTTTTAATCTTATTTAGGACAAGGGTGATCACATCACAAATTGACCTTTAATTTCATTAAACTTTCAAATTGTCCAAATTGTTGAACATAGTCAACCCACCTAGCCATTTCGGCTTAATCCACTTTTACTCAACATACTAACAAGTCATGCTTGATTAATAAATAAATAAATAACAACCTTGTGGAATAATTAATAAATTCATTCCACTTAAACCATTCAATTCCAATCCTTTAATAATCCAAATGTGGTTAACAAACCAATCCAATAAAATTATGCTTGTATCAACATTCCATACAAACAATTAATTCAATATAATTCAACATGTTTGCATCCATAATTCCATACATACATAATCAATTCAC